GGTACTTTCGGAGTCCGTGGCTAAAGATAGGCTAGAGGGCTTGCGCACAGCATGATCAGACTCAGCTTGATGTTTAGGTTTCAGTCAACTCTGCAATTTGTTCGTTGATGGTTTTTTTTTTTTTTTAACTGTAAAAAACCTCCGCATCAGAATATTATGTTCTACTAAGTCCACCCGGTTGGCAATCACCAAGAAAATAGATTTTTTAGCCCATGCAATTCTACAATACCTGATGGAGAGAAGTTTTCCTCGAAACGATAACCCTTAGTTGTTGCTGAACGTCGGCTTCTTCAACAAGTTGCACCGAGCAACCGACGAGCTTTACAAGCTGAACGAGCTCAGGTTTGCATACAAGAGGCAAAGTCGATCTTTGACATCATCAGAAAGGGGAAGAAGCCCCTACTTTCGCGGATTGAGCTATAGGATTTTTAGTTTCGTGCAATTATTTAGCTAGGGTATCTACGGGGTTGCATAATTATCACCGATATGGCAATTCCAACTTGTAAGTTCTTCATCTCCATCACCAAAGTTCAACAGACCAAATCAAATAACCCTCACCCCTCCAGACTCCGTGGTTTGACATCCACAACCTTGTAGATCGAGCTGGATGCCTGGAGCACAACCCACGTTCGAGTTCTGCACACTTTGCAGATCTGGATCAAGCACCCGGAGTCTGTTGCTTTTCCGCGACAGGCGGTGCAACAGGCGCATACTGCGACGGCACGAGACCGCCTCCAGGCTGCGGCGAGAAGCCCTGGATCGTCCCGTCGTACGGCCTCGTGGCGACCTTGTTCTTGCAGCTTGAGCAAGTGTAGTGCATGTCCTCACACCACCCCGCGATGCAGGGCACGCATGTGAGGCAGATGCAGAGGAGGCAGCACAGAGCACCGGCAACCCTGAGGAAGTCCGCGTGTTAGCTAAACTGGTTCATGAAATACTCCCATAGAATCAAAATTAACTTACATTTGCATGGCAGTACCCTCTTTTGCAATGACCGTCTGCGTCCGCTGTTTGCAAAAGGGGCAGTCGATCCATTGCGGCTCGTCGCCTAGCATATGCAACGGCGTGACGGTCGCTGGGTTCGCGAGGGGGGTAATGGTCGGACCGCCCTTTTGTTGAGCGGGCATTGGTGTTGCTGGTTGTCTGCCCAATTTATCAGTATTTTCTAAGAAGGTGACGGTGTTCTAGGAGACACTTACTCAAGCTGCACTAGGTTCGCTGGCATCTCTCTGGCAGGGGCAGGACCGCTTCCTTGCACAGTAGATGTCACTGGTGATTCTCTCTCATAGGCTGGCGCCGGCTCTTGAATGTCGATCGCCGGGGGAGGAGCAGTCTTTTGTTCCGACATCTTTGATTTTGAGGTCTGCTTAGTGGTGTAAGATGACGAAATTGATGAATTGTTGGGTATCACGGCTGTACGGTCTGTAAGTCACTACGAATGACTTGGATAATTGAGGAAAAGTTGAAGGAAGATAGATGAATGTTGAAGAGAGAGACTAAAGGAAGAAGATGATAAAATACAGACTTTTGAGATGACGAGCACTTGTTCCTTTTCGACTTCATGTAAAACTCTCCCTCCAGGTAAGATTGCCTCCAGTGCGCGTGAGCACTACCAAGGTGGCACTAACAGCGGCACAGCATCACAGGAATCCACAATCAGGCAGAACCGTAACATCGACAACGATCGCCATTGGTGCTTACGGGAATAGACTCGCTTGGCAGGGGACAGATGTCTCTCCCGGGTCGCCCCCCCAAGGCTCTACGAGTTGGTGTGGGCGGCGCAGCCCTACAACCAGGGCGATTGCGCCTCGTGTATAAAATGTGAGGGTTGTGCCGTTGTGGTAACCAGGGGCAGAGCTGAGAGACACCCCGGGAATCTTACACCCACGCGCTTGGGATGACCAGATGATAGGTGGTCTTACCTGCCTAATGCAGTTTCAATGGCGAAGCAATATCCGATGTTACACCACTTGCTCCCGTCCTCCATAATGATAGAGCAGGGGGAGCAGACATGACGATCGGATAGCGCAGCCTTACTTCGACTTCACGAATCCAATGACTTTTCTGACACAGCCTCTTTCTTATGCAGTAGCGCTCCTTTGAACTTCATCACCACTCTAATTCAATGATCAAAAGTCGGTCCGTTGATGCAGCTGGGAGTCCACGTTCAGGACATGTTGATGTAGTCCCACCAACCCACTGGCCTCTTTGAAAGTCACCCCAGATGGACTGAGCATCCACAACTCCAACATCGAATTGCCATCGCAACCTCAAGATGCGCTTAATCAAAGCTTCATCCATACACAGCAGCAGCCTCCAGCTCGTCGACTTCAACCCCGATCAGCTCCCCCGGTACGCCATTCTCTCGCACACCTGGGGCGACAACGAAGTCATCTACGCCGATATTAGAAACGAAAATGCCGCCACCAAACCGGCTTTCCAAAAGGTCCGCTATAGCTGCATCCAAACCCTGGCAGACGGCCTCGAATACGTCTGGATCGACTCATGCTGCATCGACAAAAGCAGCAGCGCGGAGCTCTCCGAGGCCATCAATTCCATGTACGAGTGGTACATGAAGTCAGAAGTCTGCTACACTTACCTCTCTGGCGTCCCCGCCACCGTCGACCCTGTCAAGACGGACGGCGCGTTTGCCTCGTGCCGGTGGTTCACGCGCGGCTGGACGCTTCAGGAACTAATCGCCCCGGCCGAGATGGTCTTCTTCTCCGAGGACTGGGTGAAAGTCGGAGAGAAGACGACGCTGAGCAGGCCTCTATCCGTCATCACAGGCATAGACGAAGACATCCTCACGGGCCTCAGACCCCTCGAATCAGCGAGCCTCGCCAAGCGCATGTCCTGGGCAGCGCACCGGCAGACGACGAGACCAGAAGATGTGGCCTACTGCCTGATGGGCCTCTTTGGCGTCAACATGCCCATGCTCTACGGCGAAGGCGACCGCGCCTTCCTCCGCCTCCAAGAGGAAATCATGAAGCAGTCCGACGACCAGTCTCTCTTCGCCTGGGTCGACCTCTCTGCCTCAACCGAGACCTACCACGGCCTGCTGGCCAAGTCGCCGGCCAACTTCGCCTATTCCAACTCCATCATGCCTTACCAGGACTGGGAGCCGCGGCCGCCGTACTTCATGAGCAACCGCGGCCTGCGCATCGATCTACCCCTGACGCTGCGCGACCAAGACATCTTCGTCGCCGCGCTCGACTGTCCCGCGCCGCCGGACTACGAAGACTCTACTTTCCTAGCAATCTACCTCAAAAAGATTTCGAGCGGCGGAGATCAGCAATTCGCCCGCGTGCGGGTGAACCAGTTCGCCAAGGTCCAGGAGCGGGGGAACAAGCAGACGCTCTACGTGCGGCAGACGTTCAACGGCGTCGCGGACGCGGAAGGTGTGTTTCCGCAGCACATCATCCAGCTCCGAAAGGGTCCGCCGCGTGACCAGTACTCGGTGCTGAATCTCGTGCACTCCAAGGAGGCCGACAGAGGGGACCGGCCGGCGGCGTGCACGTCGAGCAGGGGTTCCGGAAGGGACTTGATCCACACGGCGACGGGGAAGACGATTGCTTTCCGCATCCCGAAGGCGGCGGGCCAGCTCGCCGGGGCCGTCACATTCGCGCGGACGGACGGGTCCCGGCTGCTCATCATGTTCGGGTCCACAGACGGCATCCGAGCCGGATTCCACGCCCGCGAGCTACCGCCTCGTTTCCCGGGCATGAACCAGAACCAGAACCAGAACCAGAACCAAGCAAATAGTACGAGCCCATCAAAAGCAAAGGAGAACCAACAACAAGAACCACCAGAAGTCACCTTCTCATTCGACGACTTGCAGACGATGTTCCGGCCGACCCCTGCGGGCGTCGACGTGGAGCTGGAGCGGTTCCGGGTGCGCGTCGACGTGGAGACGGTGATTGCGAACGCGAGCAAGTACCTCATGGCCGACGTGCTCATCGAACCCGTCAACCGGCCGTGGGACCCGTTTGAGCCGCTGGACGCGGCTCTCGGATGGTACGAGGGGGCGACGGGGCGGCAGAATCGGGGGCAGGCTGCCGCAGCTCAAGCGGCGACGGCGCAAGCGATGGCGACTACTAGTACTAGTGTGAAAACGAAGAGAGCCTCTTCTGGGTGGAGGAGGTTGATATCGTGAGTTATGTCTGGCTTCGATGAGATTGCATGTTGCGATAGCTAGGACACAAGAGGACTTGGATATGGAGGAGGGAAAAGGGGCACATGAATCGAGGGAGATACTACATGGCTGAAGAGAGTATACTGGCGTTCAAGGTGTACATGCTAGCATTCTATAGGTGATTGAATTTCAAGAATTAAGATAGGGCAATATGCCCCCTTTGATGTCATAAAGTCCGGTATCATGTTCAGTTAATAACGGTATCAAGAGTCAAGCTCCGAAATCTCTCCCTCTTTCCTTGCTTCAGGGGCCAACCTAAAAGGCATCAGCGACTTACAGGTAGAAGTCCCCTTATCCTCTCTAAGAGCCCTTTCCACAACCACCATCACCACGTGCCGGCAGCAACGGCGTACCAGTGCCGCCAGAGATGGTAGAAAGGTCAAGATCAGTATGTGCTGACCTTGCGGTTGCTGACATTGCACGCGCTGACGATGCACGTGGCTGGTCCGCAACAGGTGCAATGATCAAGGTCCAACTGCTTCAATGCTAAGGCATGGAAGAGATAAGAACTAAAACTTGACCATGGTGGATTAAAAGAGAGGTGATCCTGGGAAGCCCCCTCTTGAACTCGGTGGTGATAGGTATTGCTATCGCAAGGTACCGGGTAACTTTCGTCGACTCATACCATCCATCACGTGACCCTCAATGACTCACCAATACAGAGCTCTATCACTTCTTAGGTAATCGACATAAATTGGAACTCCCTCCGATACGGAGCAGCTCTTAGCTAACTTTTTTTGAAGTTACTCAATTCAACCCCTCTAGATACCCCATATACCCCCCCCCGCCAGATACCAACGCAGTCATCATGGCACCTGGAAAGACGCCTGCAGAGAACATGCTTTGGGGTGGCCGCTTCACAGGTAAGCTTGTTTTTCCCCCAATAAGTTCAATTGGCAAGTTCAATTGCAGTTGTGCTAACCCAGAAATGAACAGGCGGCCTCGATCCCCTCATGCTCAAGTACAATGCGAGTATAGGATACGACAAGCTCCTGTTCAAGGAGGATATCCTCGGCAGCATCGCGTTTGCGCGCGCCAACGCAAAGTCCGGCATCATCACCAACGACGAGTTTTCCGAAATCGAGAGGGGACTCCGGGAGGTGCAGAAGGAGTGGGAGGCTGATACCTTTGTCATCATGCCCAACGACGAAGATATCCACACTGCCAACGAGCGCCGGCTCGGCGAGATCATCGGCAAGGACATCGCCGGCAAGCTGCACACCGGTCGCAGTCGCAATGAGCAGGTCGCCTGTGACATGCGCCTGTGGCTGAACAACCAGATCAAGGAGATTGAGAGCCACCTGGTCGCCTTTATCGAGGTGATTGCCGCCCGCGCCGAGGCGGAGGTGTAAGTCTGAGCATCACCCCGCAAATCCGGCAACCTCCCCTTGCTGATCTTTCAAATAGTGGCATTCTCATGCCTGGATATACCCATCTCCAGCGCGCCATGCCGGTCCGGTGGTCGCAGCACCTGCTGTCGTACGGCTTCGCCTTCCAGAGTGATCTCGACCGTCTGCGCGAGGTTTCCAAGCGCGTGAACAGGAGCCCGCTCGGCGCTGGTGCTCTCGCCGGCAACGGCTTCAACATCGACCGCGATATGATGGCTGAGGAGCTGGGCTTCACAGGCCTCCTGTGGAACTCCATGGGCGCCGTTGGCGACAGAGACTTCGTCACTGAGTTCCTGCAATGGGGAAGCATGTTCATGCAACATACTTCTCGATGGGCCGAGGATCTCATCCTGTACTCCTCTTCAGAATTCGGCTTCATTTCAATCGCCGATGCGTACTCCACTGGAAGTTCGTTGATGCCGAACAAGAAGAACCCGGATGGCTTGGAGTTGTTGCGCGGAAAGGCTGGTCGAACCTTTGGCCACATGGCCGGCCTGATGATGACCCAGAAGGGTCTCCCCAGCACATACCAAAAGGATTTGCAGGAGAGTTGGGAGCCCATGTTGGACCACGTCAAGACCATCTCTGATAGTCTTCAGATCGCACAGGGCATTCTCGTCACTCTGACCGTCAGGCCAGAGCGCATGAAGGCTGCCCTGGACCCTTTCATGCTGGCTACCGATCTGGCTGATTACCTCGTACGAAAGGGCGTCCCCTTCCGCGAGACGCACCACATTTCTGGCCGATGCGTCGCCGAGAGCGAGAAGCGCGGTATCCCGATGAACGAGCTCTCGCTGGAGCAATTGCAGGCTATTGACAGCCGATTTGGGGAGGATGTTGCGCAGACGTTTGACTATGAGAGGAGCGTCGAGATGAGGGCGTCCAAGGGTGGTACGAGCCGGGCCAAGGTTCTGGAGCAGGTCCAGGTTCTTAAGGGCATGCTTGCTTAGAGAGGTGTTTGATAGCTGGGACTCAAGAAGGGCAGGTTCTAGAGGGATTTAAAAAAGGCGTATTGGTAGAAAGGTGTTAGGTTCCGAAGTAGCCCATCGGGGGGACTAGAAGGTTGAGGTGGTTTATCAAGGTGAATTTGAGCAAGCGTGATCAAAGACTGAGCGAGAGCGGCTCCGCCTACTTGGCTGGCCTGGGCCAAGCCTCGTCCAGTTTTTTTCTGGCTCTCAACGGATAGAAAAATAAAACAGAATCACATACTTATCAAACAATCACACTGTTCAAGCATTCACCAATTGCTATTAACACTGATCATTTTTGAGATAAACTTCGAGATCTCAGTGTTATAGAATAGCCTTTCTCTTCCTCGACCAGGTTCATAGTCAAGCTCAATGGCCTCAAGATGAGAAAAGCTTAGTAGACACAACCTTGCCCAGATCTCGTGGTAGACTACCTGCCAAGTAGCCCAAGGTAAGTATTAGCGTACCGATATGTGAAAGACGAAGAGAAAAGACCCGACCCACACAGCCACTCACTGACCGCCGTTTCCCACGGTCCCCCTTCCCCGCCCCTCCTTCCGGCCCCAGAACCCGGCCGGGTGCTTTCCCACCCCCGTCCTCTGCGCAGCGTGGCGCCGTAGCCTCCCTCACAGGCTCACAAGCTCACAGCTATACGTGAGAAGTCCAATCGGTTCCAATCGGGTAGAAAAGTCGGGCAGAGGAAGGAAATCGGCTCAAACTCGCAACTCTCTAATTTTGAGGTACAGGAAATGTACCCGACCTATCCTTCGAGTTACATCGCTCGTCACCAAAGATTCTCAGGGACGAAGAATGCACCGAAAAAGCGAAACTACCCGCTAATTATCGCGCCTTGCTGTAAGGTATCATTGTGCCATTCAGTCGTTGGAGGAAGGCTCGCACTCTTGGGAGTCAAGTATCATACCTGAACCGCTGTAAGCGAATGCGCTTGCTGACCCTGCCTATTCACCATCATTCGATTCTTTAGTATAGTTGTACACATGCAATTCGCAGACGCATAGACACAGCGTGGAAGAAAAAAAAAACACGTGCAAATCCCCCCCCGTCTCGTAAATTCGGCCGGCGAATCGGTGCCCCCCCCCCCCAAAAACACCCCGAGACTCGCCCCGCCCCCCCCCCCCCCCCACCTTCTTCCTTCCCCGAACCCAATGACGAGGGAAAAGCAAAGTACCCGACCTCACCTATGATCCTCTGTACCTAAGGTAGGTACTCCTCCGCACTCTGTACTCCGTATCGTACTCTCGCAAACGCAAAAAGACAGAGGTGCTGATAATCCAATGAAAACCCCGCTGCTCACCGAAAAATAAAGAGGCAAAGCGATGTCGCCTCCCGAACACGCAGCTCAAAGTCATTCGCCCATGGGGCCAGGCCTTACAACTCTGGCCGTGCCAATCCCCACGTTTCTCCGTTCCCCCGTTTTCCCACAATGAAGGTAGTAGTTCCCAAAGTCCCCCTTCCGGACCCTTCTTGCCTTCCATCCCCCTCCCCGAGTATCCGCGCCATCCTCCAACCCAGCGCCAGCCCAGACTCAGCCAGCCCAAGATAGGGTAGTTGGGTAGGCACGCTGGCGCGGTAGCGTAGCCTCCCATCCGTAGGTCGCCCGCCCATTTCATCCCGCTGATCCGCTGCACGTCATCACCCATCGCTCCCGGTGCCATCGCCATCGCCATTATCAAACACACCGCCCTTGGGGTACGGTAGGCATGAGTCCCGGCCCATGATTGAACATGAAAAGTTTCGCCTCCCCTCCCCGCTCGGCAGAAACGCCTCCCTACCAGCGGCATTGGCTTGGTGCGGCGTATGACTTGTGATGGCAGTGGTGTCCTGCCGTCTAGGTTGGCGAGCGGTTGCCACAGGCAGGTCAAATCCAGGAAGTACTCTGGTTTGACACTAGACACGTGGGAATGGCTTGGGAACACTGGCATGTTGGCCCGGGAGCGTAATGGGTAATGGCGCAAGTAAACATTTCATTAGAGCTGCGAGGCTCTTCTATGGAAACCCAGTCTATCATAGGAAACCAAAACACACACGCACAAAATCATCCATCACTCGTGCTGCTCCGTAACAGAAATGTAAAAAACAAGATGCTGGTCGTCAATCCGTCATCGTCGTCAATCTATGCCATCATCCCTGTATGCTCGTCGTGAAACATCAGTGTGCGCCGATAAGAGGCCTCGTACTGCGGCGAAGAGACGAGACCAGACGCTGTATATCGTTGTGGTTATTATTCATGGTTGTTGTAAAACGTATAATGAGTGCCTTGAAATCGACAGGCAATCATGGCCCGCTCATGGGCTAGGACTAGGGCTGGGACTCTCGTACTCCATAATCTCGATGGAGTAGTAGGGAAGCTCTCGCGCCAGCGTGCCGCTGTCACAAAAGAATAAAGTGCCTTCAACCTCACTCTCGGGCTCCTCGACTTCGTCGATACGAGGCGGAGGTGGGTCTTGGAATAGGATAAAGCTGTGCCTGTGGCTGTCCCCGTAACGTCGCCGGAGTCTGCGTGCGCTGGAGCCAACATCGTCTGCGTCGAGGGGTGTCATATCTTCGTGGTCAGAGTCGCTACGTTCTGATATGGTGCGCTTGCCAATGCTAGATCCGTGGGTCCGCCGCTTGCGCATCTTCAGCTCCCGTTGCATACGCACAAACTCGCGGTGAGCCTCATCGGCATCTAGGTCGTTATCCGAGCCTTCAGAGCTGCTTCCATCGAATCCGAGATTCCTCATCTCCTGAGTGAAGCCAGGAGGGAGCCCTTTAGGTGGCGGTGCCCGTGAGCGAGAGCGAGCAGATGACGGGGAGGAGAAGCCGGAGGGGGCAATGGTGCCGCTGCGGTCTTGATCCATTGGGTCAAAGTCGGAAAGCTCTTCCAGTGTGAAATTCGCCTTGACAGTCGAGGTGGTGGTAGCGGTGACAATGTGGTGAATCTCTTGGATAGGAGGGGTGGCCAGAGACTCTGATTCCGAATCAGAGTCAGACTCCTCGTCTTCGTCTTCGTCTTCTTCCTCCTCATCCGATTCTTCTCCAGAACTGCTGTCGACGGCCATACGGGAGGCCGGCATCGGCACAGACCTCGGAGCGAACATGGAAGCGGACACGGATGCTGGCACCGGGGTAGGCGTTGGAGCCGGGGCTGGAGGAGCAAAGCGCATAGGCGTATCGTCGTCCGAGTCTTCCGATTCTTCGTCGTCTGAATCTTCATCTTCGTCTTCATCATCGCTGTCTTCATCTTCGTCGTCTTCTTCGTCATCGTTGGTCCTGGGTCTTACGTGAGGTACCTGGCGTTGTTCAGATTCGGGTTCGGACTCGGATTCATCCTCTTCATCAGACTCAGAGGAGTCTTCGGAAGAAGTGCGGGGTGACAAGTGAGCAAAGCGATTAGAGGGCGTAAAACTGAATTCGTGGCCATTGCCAGTAGGCTGAATGCTGGAGTCATCCAGTACGATTTGGTGATGCCATTGCGGCAAGTGTCGTGCAGCGAACTTACGATTCGCCATTGGCACGGTGGTGGTAGGGGTATGAGGGGGTGAGTTTGGTCCTCCAAGAGGGCCCAGCATCATGCTGGGCGTCGCCGGCCGCGACTTGCGAGGCATGCTTAATGGCGCCTGCGATACGGCAATTGAGGTGATGCCTCTCTGATGCGCCTCAAGGGCCGATTTTTGTATCTGTGGCTCTAGTCTCCTTTGTGTGTTGGTGATTTATCGATCGTGTCTTTGTTGCGGAACTCGGGTTTTTTCTCTCTCTTCTGTATCCCTCGAACTTGCGGGGAAGATAAAGTTGAGCGGGCAAATGAGATCAGATCAGCTCCAAGGAGCGACAGCCAGTAGATCGGCTTGGTTATGTGATTGGTTCCGATGAAGGTGGTATATCAAGTGAAGTAGCAAAAGTCAAGGCGTCAACACCCAGAGTAAGAACCTCCGACAAGGAGAAGAGGATATTCGGCTGAAGCTGTAGGTTGTCATGATAGATCTGGCGGGAAATGCTTGAGATTGAGCGAAAGCGCGCGGGAGGAAGCGGACCAGTTCGAATGCACTCAAGGAGCAACACAAGCCAGGGTCTCTTCTAGGAATGGAAGCACAGTTCAGGCCACTGGTAAGTGACGGAAAGTCCCCAATGTTCGTTCTCTTTCGAAAGAGAAATCGGGGTTTCCAACCAGCTGGATGTCGCTGACCCGACACTGACAAGAGAGACAGCGGGGAGGAATGTTTCGGGGGAGACACCGTGGGATGTGCGGGATCCCGGGTGTGGGGTCGACGAAAATCGGGCGGGCGGTGACGATAGGACCACGGGCTTTGTCCAGGGTGACCAGGGACTGCCTTGTTGAGGGGCTGCGGGTAGCAGTACGAAATGGCTGATTGAGAAGAAGAAGAAAGGCCACAGGGTGGTGCACTGCGCACGCGAGCAGGAATAGTACCAGTGAGGTGACTTCGGCTGCTGGCCTAGGGGAATGTATTGGACGGAAGAGAGTTGGGGAAAGTCGAAGACAAGCGTGGGGGACCTGGGTCAAGAAGAAAGGCTCAGGAATTTGTCGGGCAAGAGGTGCGTGGGATGAATACCGTGGAAGAACACCAGAGGAACGACAACAACAGATTGCCGGAGCAAGCAATTCCGAGTCTGAATCCGAATCTGAGTCTGGCTGGGTTTGTTGTGATGCGTTGTCGTCTCAAGTGGAATGGCAAGCCAAAAGGACGGACTGCCGATTGTATGATTCCTCGCTGGATTCTGGATTTGTGGATGTCCGAGCTGTCGGTGGTAATGGAGGTGGTGAGCAAGTCTCACGGTGTTGCTTGAATTAACCGTCCAAAATGTGTACTAAATGACTCCCGTGATAGGCCGAGAGCGGGTCGTTGGCACGGCCAGACAGTCCCGGTCTTATAGGTGTGGCTGCTATATTGCTTGAATTCCCACCGATCGACCCTTTGCGCTGACTAGCAGAGGGGATGGGAATCGAACGTGATATGACGGCCAGACGGTTGATGGTCGAGCGAAAGGTAGACCCAAGTCAACCACAAGAAGAGAAGAGGGGAGAGGGGAAACGAGAAAAAAGATTTTCTAATAGTCTGTGGGATGGGGAGAGAATTAAGAATTAAAAGAAGTCATTGCACATGTGCGCTGCAGCTCTGCGGCATGCCCATGCCCATGCCATTCCATGCAGCAAAGAAACTCCATCCCTTGGTCACCTAAGGTAAGGTAAGGTAGAGAAAGAGGGAGAGCCTCTTCTCGCCCACTTGCTGCAAGTTGCAACTGGTGCTGCTAGAGCTGTGTGGGTGCCCGCCAGCTGCTTTACTGCGGTGTAATCTCATTGCTGGCGCGAGTGCTCCTGTGAAGGACTCCATAGTGCCACTCCTGGATATTGTAACCCTCGTGGAGTTCTTCCTATCAGAAGTAAAAGTCTGGTCTAGCCGGCGGTTCCTCTTTTGCGCATTCTCGCGGGGCGCAAAGTTGGACTTTGGGCAGCAATGCTCCAGGACTCCCCCGGTCTAACCGTGTGTCCCGCAGCGGCGTCGAGAGAATTTCATGTGTGTGTGTGTGTGTGTGTGTGTGTGTGTGTGTGTGCTCTCGCGCATTTGCGGATACCGCAGCGGCGTACGGGCTGACTGGACCGGGGCCGCCATGGCTTGACTGGTTGCTCGGCTGGAATGGGCTGGGTTGGGGGTTATGAACGGTATCAAGCGAAGGAGGACGTCCAATGCGCGAGGGTTGAGAGGGCGTGATGCGAAGGAGGGGTAATGGAGGGGTGTGGCTGTGGATAGGCGCCAGATCGCCGACTATTGGCGATTCTTGATCGGCCTCTTTTTTTCTTTGCTGGAGCCCTATTTGGCCTGTCAAGCCTTTCTCCCATAGCCTGTTGGATAATAACACTTCACGCTTTGGTGGGGTTCTGGTCCTGGTCTAGGTCTAGAGTCTAGACTGATTATTGTCCTCGCCATTGACTGTGCCTGGTCCTTGCGAAGCTTGATACTCAGTTCAACGTCTGTTCTGTGGTGTAATATGGAAGTCTGACAGCGTGTGAGGGCATGTTTCGTCAACGTCCACAGAGCATGACGCTGTCCCTTCTTGGGACAATGCTGCGCGTGTCTTTAAGAGACTGGCTGATGGATACGACCGGTAAGGATACATGCCTCTCGCTGAAGACGGCAGCAAGGTATCGAGCCTCAGTACCTAGGCTCTGGCCATAGGTACCTGTCCAGGAGCAGAAGGAGACCTGATAGGCGTGGGAAAATCCATAAGACTGCTGTGAACGATTAGAAGATTTCAAGAATTAGAAGAGGGATGGCTGTGTGACAGCACTTGTGCCCAATCATCGGTGGCCCAGAATGCCTAGGGCGTTTTCAACGGCTTGCAGTCTTTTCTGCAGCATGGCGCCACGACAAGTTCCCTCTTCCTCGAGCCACCGCATAGCTGCAGCAAAGAGCCTAAGAGCCTCAAGGACTACGTGTGAGTTCGAACAAAACGAAAGGGAATATGAAAACGGCGGAATTGATTGACTGAGAAAAATGACTTCTTGTGTACTGTATTCGTAGGTAGTCTGAGCCGCTCTTGAGGTGTGATGGAGGGGTGGATGTGACGAGGGGCAGGATGCATCATGCTCGTGGCCGGGTCAGATTTGTGGAGAGGAAGAAAAAGAAGGCGGTCAGAATGCACACGCCCGCCACCCTTAGACTCTGAGCCGTAGACGGAAGGACCAGAAACGAAAACTGACAGGAGCGATAGTAACGTAAGGTAAGGTAGGAGAAAGAGCAGGAGCGGCCACCACAGTCGTCAGTGCCTTCCTGCTTCTTTCCGTCTCTTTCCAATTCCATGGTAACACAACAGCGCACATGTCGCAGGGTGGGAAGGTGGGAAGGTGGGAAGATGCCGCCGTAACTGGAAGTCGCGACTTGCAAATTACAATTCCATTTCCTGCGGTGAAATTCTAGAAGGCAAGCCAACACGGCCAAGTGCATGAAACGGCAACTTTGCGTCGGGCCTCGACGCTGTGTCACTCATATCCCGTCCAAAACGGCACTTGCTCGCAGCTCTGGGGGTTTTGTTAGTCAAGTCCTGCCTGCCATCCTGCCCACATCATTGGGAATATCATCACCAATACAGCCAGCCACCTGGCACTGCCATCATCCATCACTATCGTCATCTCGGAACGCCTGCGCGAATCACCAAATTCTTGCAGTCGTGTTTTACAAGTACTTCTCCGTCCACAGTAGACCTAGTCTCTAGACCACAGCACCCTTGAAGAGACTGGGATGCATGGGTGGGCACTGGGCAGTTCCTAGACTGGCATGGCTCCCTGCAGCCCAACGCTGACGGACCCTCTTCTTAGCCTTTCTTCCATTCCTTGCTGGACGAGAAGAATCCTCATTTCCAGCGGCAAGGCCCGATTACATTGGATTTGTTTGCTTCGCTGACAACAGCCGGTTCTTTCTTACCCCAGTAGCCTTGTTGCTACTCGGCTCAGTGAGTGCTGATAAACGTGGGATCAAGTAAGGTAGACTGTGTATCCTATCATTCCATTGGTGAGATGTGATATACCCTAAAGACTCGCAGAGTCCAGACTGATTTCCCAGATCCTCGAGGGGTTTCTTCCAGGAGCACGAAAAAGGCATCGTCGTCCTTCCTTCCGCGTTAGGGCATGACCCCCCTTCTTCCCACCTCTTCGTCTATGCACTGCATCGTCAACTTGCGCAAGTGTGCATTTGGGAGTTCGCGCCAGAGTGGACAATCCAACGACCCAAAGGCCCCCGTTCATCTGCAGGTCCGACGGGCCTTTCCCGCAGGAAGACCGACCTGAGAGCAACTCCACGTGTGGCTGTCGATGGTGGGCTGGTGGTGTGCGTGCGAGGGCCCCATGTCTTGTTCGAGAAGCCTGCTTTTTGTGGAAGAACAAGGAACCTTTGCCTTGCTAATTGAGGCTCTGCGATTCTGCAACCAAATTGGTGTCTTTTGGGTCCCAGCGGAGCAGAGGGATATTTGCAATTTGCGTCCATCGGACAAGAATGAGACCTGGTGGTGATGCTTACATTTTGAGATTCGTAAAGGGCACTTTCCCGCCAACAAACGAGTTGCCCCCATCGACCTGCTTAATATACGTAGACTTTTGCTATATATGGGTAGCTTTTCAAGACTTTGAAAGGGGCTGGGTGAATTTATGAGGCAGGCCGGGAGCTCTTCAAGAGATCTTCAAAGCGAGATATTACTTCTGTTGATAGGCACTTGCATAGCAAGGTACTTACTTACCTTAGCCGCGCACCTACAAGAGACTCTTTTTGTGTTCTAATCATCTGCTTCAAGGAATTCAGCCATCACACGGACAGTAAGATTCGTCAAAAAAGAAAAAAAAAAGATTTCCCTCGAGACCTTGATAATGTTTGCAATATCCAGTCATTTTATACCTTGCAACCCTGTGGGAAGCTCCCAAGGTCGACCAGGTTTGTCACGAGGTAAGGCAGCTGGTGTTGGTGGAAGGAGGCGCCTGCCACCTGTTTGAGCCTTGAGCTCCAAAGTCAGAGCGCGTCGATGCAACATCCAATCATTGCTCTCCTCTCAGCCCCACACGGAACTTTCCAGCTACGCGTGCTTCGACGCAACTACACTTCTTAACCATCCGTCAGAAACATTAACGCTCTCTTGGTCGACACATCTTCCGTCACCAACAGGGTGTAGAACATTAGTTGTATCATTCAAACTTTTTCTCCGATCGAATACTAAACTCTCGAATACTGTCCAAGTTGTCCCCATCTTACCGCCGAATCCGATAACCGTAAGAACCGCGACGATGAACAATCAAGGCCAGCCTGGCCAGGCCGCCGCCGGTCAAACTGTGCCTAGTGCGCGACAGCCACCCATGTATCGACCCGAGATGATGCGAAACCTTCCCATTCTGAACGACGAAGAGAAGCAGAAGTATGAGAGGGGTTTGCGCCAGTTGTGGAATCATTATGAAACGCATCCTGAGGAGTCCGCTCAACATCAAGACGCCAAGAAGAAAATCCAGGACTTTACCAAGATGCTGCTTAACAAGCTCCAGCAACGCCGCATGCAGGTTCAGCAACAGCAACAGGCTCAGCAGCAAGCCGCTCAACAGCAGCAACAGGGTGGTCAACAGGCTCAACAGCAACAGAGTCAGCCAGCGCAGTCAGCTGCCCCCGCGCAACAAGCCCAGCCGGCTCAGCAACAAGCACCGGCGGCCGCCGCCAGCCAAGCGAACGTCGGAGGCGTCACTATAAAGACCGAACCGAAGACCGAGAACACGGCGACGACGACGGCAGAGCCTGCGCATGCTCCCACGCCCGCGCCCGCTCCAGCGGCGGCAGCACCGACTCCCACTGCGCCGCAGCAGGCGCCGCAGGCGACACAGTTTCCAGATCACATTCTAGCCCATATTCGACAGATGACCTTCAACCCGCCTCAGGGCATCCTAGATAAAGGCCAGGAGGCGGCTGCTCGGTGGTCCAATGACTTCAAAGCGAAATATTTGAGGGCGTTGATGCAGATGGATCAGCAGGGAATCCAGATAAGGCGGATCGATGCACACGTCAAGAATCAACAGGAGAAGGGCGCATTGGGTGCAGATGAAGCAAAGCAATTGCAAATTAGAAGGGATCATGCGCAAAAGATGCACACTGAGGCCCAGACCTTCGTCCAAAATTTCAGGAAGTCCCAGGAGGGCATCAATAAGGCGAGGGCGGCGGTGGCAGCTGCTGCCGCGGCGGGACAGACTGCGGCAAGTGCGAGCGCGGCTGCACAACAACGACCGCCTTCTCAGCAACAGCAAAACAGCCCAGCCGTCGCAGCATCGCAACCGCCCTCGACACAGCCTGGTGGTGCTCAAGCAAGCCCGGCACCGACCGCCCAAGGCACTCCGGCCACGCAAAACGCGCAGAACCCTACCACGGCAGTGAATGCCGCGATCGAGGCAGCGAAGAACCAGCAAATGACCGGCACAGCCGCCGCAGGTCAAGGCACCCCCACTCAGCAGCAACAGCAGCTGCCTCAACAACAAGTACAACAGCAACAGCTACAGCAACAACAGCAGTTGCAGCAACAACAGCAGCAGCTCCGACAGCAACAACTCCAGCAACAGCAGGCTCAGGCTGCCGCTCAAGCTGCGGCTTCCTCTGCCGCGACACCAACTACATCCCAAGCTCCTCAAGCTCAACAACCCATGGCTTCTGCGCCGCAGCAAACTATGAATCAGGGCCAACATCACCCCCCGCCAGTCAATACTGCCATCGCGTCGGTTTCCGCAGGCGGTGGACTCCCTGCGGCAGGCACACCCACCCAGCGCGTCGCGACTCCCCAGTCTGCTGCTCCTGCCGGTCCTGGTCAAGCTCTCAGCCACTCAGCCGCCGTCTCCCGCGCGAACCAGCGCAACGTCCAGACATCGGCTCCCATTCAGCAGGCCACCGGTACTCCCGGCTCGGCCGGCGCACACGCTCAGGGTGTCATGGGATCTGGAGCAGTTCCGCAACAACAACACGCGCATCCGACACAGCCAACTCAGACGTTGCAGTCTAAACTTCCGATCCCTAAGCAACTTCCAGAAAAGGCTACTTCCGTGCCTCAACCCGTTGCGATGGCGGGCGGTGCTGGCGCTGGTAGGCCTACTTACACGGGAGGTGGCGGCATTGCTGGAGGTGTCATGGGCCAGCCCGCGATTTCCAAGATCCCTGCATACGTCCATGAGGCTGAGGGCGATCACGTACTCAGCAAGAAGAAATTGGACGAGCTCGTGCGACAAGTTTGCGGCGGAAATGCCGAGGGCCAGGAGATCAACATGTTGACTCCCGAGGTCGAAGAGGTACGTGACTTATCACTGACGACCCGATGATGACAAACGTTTGCTAACTCCATTGCAGAGTGTCTTGGCCATGGCAGACAGCTTTGTCGATAACGTCCTGGAGACGGCTTGCCGCAACGCCAAAGAGCGAGGCTCAAAGGTCCTCGAGATTCGCGACATCCAGCTTGTCCTTGAACGTACTTACAATATCCGCGTCCCTGGCTACTCCTCTGACGAGCTTCGCACCGTGCGCAAGATCCAGCCCTCGACTGCCTGGATCACTAAGATGAGCGCCATCCAAGCAGCCAAGGTGACCTCGGGTAAGGGCGAGTAGTACGAACCCACCGAGAAACCGCGGCATGCTGCTGCTAGAAACCGAAGCACTGCTAGGAGAAGCACGACAAAGAGCGTCCGGTTCAATCAAGATGACGTCGGAGCACGTGCGACATCGCCGGTCAAGGCCGCCTCGTCCAAGGCGAGATCTCGTAAATCTACATCACTGGCCAAGAAGGCTTCAACCTCGAGATCTGCTCCGACTCAGACTACTGGTCCTCCCATCATGCAGTTCTCGGTTGATAGCAATACCCAGCAGGCGGACTTGTCCATGGCGACACGTATGGAGGTCAACTTTCTCCCAGCAAAGAAGTAGGCTCCTCTTCAGGAGTAAGGATGATTTGACAATGGCAAATGGATTGGTTTTCATGGGCATAACGGTATGGTTTGGGAGACATGGGAAAAGGCGTTTGAGACGGACAGCAATTGCTAGCTAACTAGCAATATCTGGTGCTGCGGTGGTCATCCATCATGGCTTTCATAGTTATGGTATACCCAAATTGTTACTCTAGTCCATTCACAGTGTTCATCTAGGTCCGTCTCAGTGTTGTGGTGTCATTAATTATGCCACAAGGAGGTAGGCCAGCAAGGTCCTCACGATGAAGGTAGCGCAGCTGGAGCCAGGTGGTGCAAAGGCGCCTCCGGTCCGATAAGACAACAGCAAGAGTAGGCACCCAGAAGCAACAGTCTGCATTCAGCTGAGCAAACGACTCAAATATGAAGGTGGCGTTGACATTCTGACGAACCTAGCGCGTGATATAGATTCAGAGGCAGAATGGTGTTTGACGGCAACAAAGGTTGCGGTGCAATGCCAATTCAGGTGATATGCCATATTGATCAGGTACTACCTATGCCTACAGCTTCGATGGCGGGATTGCGAGCTTCGGCGACGGACCCTGAATAATTACATAATTCAGGTAGCTGGGGCGTGCATAAGTGTGGCACAAAAAAAAAGGCACCACGACGACGCAGCTGAGGCAGGCACCATCGACAACGTCACTCCCGCTTTGGACCTGGTGGCCTTTGCCTCGTTCGGTGTTTGGGGGGGGGGGGGGTTGCTCCACGCTTTCAGCAGGCCCGGCAATCTCACTCGCTAAGTGATATCAAGTAGAGTGTACAAACTGCAATAGCGTAGCCCCCGCAAAGATGGCTACTTTTGCCTCTCGTTGGGTCCACAATCTTGTACCCGCTACCGAGCACCGGCTAGTGTGGTGGGTGAGGTGCTTGCCCGGTCTGTGTCGTTCCCCCCCGGCCTGGAAGCAGCAACCTAAGCCTCAGGTATTCAATCTTTGAGCTTCCATCCATCGGACCTTCCTGCATCACGAGCCAAACAGCCAAACAGCAACCACGCAATTCCATCAACGACAGCCGACTCTCACAGAGCTCCGAGATCGACTCCCGCTCGTCCTGACGCTTTTTCAACCTGTGTCACCTGACTTTCTCTTCCTCAATACCTTGCTTTCGGACGAAGCACCCGACGGGACGCCATATCTAAGCAAAACAACCCGCCCACACTCTCCTCCCCGGGCACGACTCCACGATCATATCCGACGGCTGCCATCCCCAGCAGCACTCAACACACTGCCCACAGCATATCCACGCACACCCGGTTGAGCAAAGATGCCGGGCAAAACACCTTCACGCAGCGGGAAGGATCCCCTCGAGAACGGGGTTCGTAAGAACAACAAGGATGCCGACTCAAAGAGCAAGGGCAAGAAGGGAGCAAAGGACGGCGACGAAGAGATGACTGTTGTTGTCCCTCCATCCAAGAAGGCGGCTGCTCCCCCGGCAGATGCTGACGGAGACGTTGCGATGGGTGACGAGGCTGGAGCAGATGAAGCAGAGGTCAAGGTTGACCCCGTGGTGCAGGCTGTAGCAGGTACGTCATGCTTTATCAGTTCTGAAGCTCTTGATCTGTCCGCAAACAAACCAGAAAGCTGACAGATGTCAATTCTACAGACATCAAGAGCAATTTCGCTCTGCTGGACCGCGCAGTCGCGCTCTTCGATGCCAGATTCTCCCTCCGAGCCCTGCGGTCGATTTCCACCATCCGCAAGCGCCTGACACCCGATATCATCGCCCAGGCCATTGCCCAGAGCTTCCCCGCGACCGTTGCCTCCGGAAATGTTGCCAAGCAGCTTCTGATTGCCATCGGTCGCGAGAACGTACCCCTCGGCCGCTCCAGCGGACCGGAGATGGAGGTAGACAGCGAGCCTGCGAAGACGAAGAACGGCCAGAAGAAGGAGGTGAAGGAGATCATCCCCGAGATTGACATCTTCCTCGGCATCCTGATCCAGGTCCACCTCTACGACACCAAGCAGTTCCAACACGGAGCCGAGTTCTCTAAGCAGCTCACTGACCGTATCCACACGCTTAACCGCCGTACACTAGACTCCCTTTCCGCCAAGGTCTACTTCTACTATTCAATGTTCTGCGAAAGCCTCGCTCCTCAGCCTCCTTCTCCCCAGTCTCCGGTCGTCGCTATTCGACCCACTCTCCTGGCTGCTCTGCGGACCGCCGTTCTCCGCAAGGATATCGACACGCAAGCCTCGGTCATTGTGCTTTTGCTTCGCAGCTATTTGTTGACGTCTCACATTGCGCAGGCCGACCTGCTCGTATCCCATACCCAGTTCCCCGAGAACGCAGCCAACAACCAGGTCGCACGCTTCCTGTACTACCTTGGACGCATCCGCGCCATTCAGCTGAGATACACCGAGGCACACGAGCACCTCACAGCTGCGACAAGAAAGGCTCCCTCAAGCGCCTGCGCGGTGGGCTTCTCACAGACGGCGACCAAGCTTCTGTTGGTGGTTGAATTGTTGATGGGTGATATTCCCGAGAGATCTACTTTCCGCCAGCCCACTTTGGAGCTCTCTCTGCACCCTTATTTCCTCCTTGTTCAGGCCGTCCGGGTTGGCAAGGTCCAGAACTTCGAGACCATCATTGCGGATCACGCCGACACCTTCCGCCGCGACGGCACCTACAGCCTGATCCTCCGCCTGCGCCAGAACGTCATCAAGACTGGCATCCGTATGATGTCTTTGTCGTATTCTCGCATTTCCCTGCGCGATATCTGCATCCGCCTCGACCTTGGTAGCGAAGAGTCGGCCGAGTACATTGTTGCCAAGGCCATCCGCGATGGTGTTATCGAAGCTACCTTAGATCGCGAGCATGGATACATGAAGAGCAAGGAAGTCGGCGACGTCTACGCTACGCGGGAGCCTGGTGAAGCCTTCCACGACAGAATTCGCGCATGCTTGGCTCTCCACGATGAGAGCGTCAAGGTGAGTTTTCCAGCACACTTCCATGTGAAAATACACTCTAACAATACCGTGTTTTAGGCCATGCGATTCCCCATGAACCAGCACCGCTTGGAGTTGAAGAATGCCCAGGAGGCGCGCGAACGCGAGCGTGAGATGGCCAAGGAGATACAGGAGGGAGATCTGGACGAGGACGACCTTGGCGGCGACTTTGATGGCATGTAACAACGCTATGTCTACTTGTTGTGTTATCCAAACCTTCCTACCCGGTGTGCCGACGTGCCGACCCGCAACTACAAATCCAACTAGTGGTTTAGAGACACTGCGGGCAACTTGATTTTACTGATTCGTTAATGGACGGGGGGACGGCGCTAGGGGGCGGAAGAAGGGGGGGGCCTATTAGCAATGATTCCGGATGCGATAGACAAGTTTCTCTTACGCTGGTCATGTTCTCGAAGGGTGCCTGCTGGTGCGGTAGAAAGGTGGCCCCAGCTCGGCTATGGTAATTAGCCGCCCGGCGTGTGTGTGAGCTGAGTTGCAGTGCATGCCATGCGGCTCTGTGTATTAAGTAACGCAAGACATGGAAGAGATTGCCAATTATTCGATGTCGCTTGTGAGGTGTTGTGCTCGTGAGTTTATTGTCAAGTTTGCGCGCTTGATGCACTCTGTTGAAGCCATCACGGCGAGGAAGACTTGAGCGTGTAGTAGCGGTTGTAGTTTCCTCATCGAGTATCGTGTTGAGAGAGAGAGAAAGAGAAAGAGAGAGAGTTTTCGAGGCTACTCGCTGAGGCATATCTGTCTCTCAACTATTTAATCTCAGTCTTTTGAGTCCTCACTTGGTGCCTCGAGGCAAATAGCCAAAATCACCTTACGCCACGTCAATTGACATCATGAAGCCTTTTTGTTACCTATATAGTGAATATCTAAACACATAAAATGTGGAGCAACTAATATGTCCCAAGAGAATCTGAAATAAATAGATATACAAGAATTCACAAAAAGAACACTCGATCACAAAGGCTGTCCTTCTCGAGAACCACTAGTACGCCGAGCGATTCGGATCAGTCTTCCACCTAAGGCAGTTGTTACTCCCATAACCGCCCTGCTTACCATTCTCCCCGCCGCAATTACAGCTATCGACGGGCGTCTTGAAGTAGCGCGTACACTCGTCCATGCTGAACGTCCACGAGCAGCCGTCGAGCACCTCGAAGCTGAAGCTAATCTCCTCCTGTCCAGAAAAGGGCTTGATGGACTCCTTCTTGTATCCGCCCATGAGCTGCTGCTGCCCGGCGGCGGCCCTGCCATCTAGGTCGCGGGCCTGGACGCCAACGTCGGAGCCAATGTTCTTGCAGAAGGAGTTGATGCCGTTCTGCAGCCGGATGTTGCTCATCTTGCGCCCCTCGCCGTAGCATTTCACATTGTTGTGCTTGGCGTCGGCCTGCTTGAGCGGCTTTGCTGTGGGCTGGGAAGGCTGAGTCGTCTGCGCCCTGGTGGTGGTGGTCTTCGATTCAAGCGGCTGTTCGCACATGCGCCCAAGCTCACTCAACATTGAGCCCCAGGGGAAAAACCCAGGCAGGCTCATGGTGCCGTTGTTTGAAATCTTGGGGACGTCCCATCCAGTGCCGTCACCCATCGGCATCTGTCCCGAGTCGTTGTTGTTTCCACCCCTTCCCGGGCAGTCCAACATGTCCATGTCGTAGTAACTGGGCGACTCGGCAGCCTGCCGGCACATCCAGTCCTTGAGGCGATCGTCCAGCTCTTTGTTGGGGTCTACAGCGGCGGCCATGCGCGGCCGGAGGGCTTTTGCTGGCCAGGCGCCGTTTTGCGGCGGTGGCGAGCCAGGCTCGATGGACGGAGGCTGCGTCGGATAAGGCGCTTTAGGGCTCGCCGTTGACTCCTTACCATTCGGGCCGTTGTAAATAACGACGGGCCAAGCGGCAGTCGTAGCGGGAACGGGCCAGAAGCCCTCAAAGGCTCGGCGGTTCAGGCTGCCACTGTCCCTCTTCACGTTGGAACCCCCGATGGTCATTACCTCGAAGCCCAACTTGGATAGCGT